CACTTATATTTTCATTTCTATTTAAATGATTTTCTTATAAGTCAGTGTTTTAAGATTCAGGTACCTTCAATACCTTTAGGTTTTTAGGTTTGTAAGATTTGCATGGCTGGGTCATTAAGATACCCATGATTTGTATTAATACACCCACAAACAATGTTTCTCTGTTTCTAGCATTTGTTCTTTTAGTTTGGGGGTGGGGGAAATTACAGCAACTCTTCACCTGAAAGAATTTAGGTGCTTTTCTTCCTATATTCTTCCTAACTTTTATACATTGCTAATGCAGTAAGGAGAGATCCACATTGGTAATCTTACCTTTGAATATAAGCATAGAAAAACTGAAGCATGCAGACTTCCAAAGAAAGATGTTTCTATAAACAAAAGAAATCAATTTTATAGTGAAGAAAAATGCTACCTTTGCTTTTCATTGTTGTAACTACTCTGTATCTTATTGTCAATTTTTAATAAGAAAAAATTAAAAGAAAAGAAAATCAAATACTAGTTTGTCATTTAAAAAAAATCATGCAGCTCCCTTCCACTTAGTAAGGAAAACTCATAACACAAAAGCTATTTAAAAAGTTGAAAATAGATGGAAGGAATGGAATGGTTCTCAATTTCTCCTCCCACATATCAAAAATTGTTACTCCACCAGTCACTTTTAAATGATTCATGTATTCTGTAAGCTCCAATACTATTTTTGAGTAGCTTATGCTTGGTGTTATCAGAATTAGGCTAAGATTTTTTATGAAATGTGTATTTAAGTCTATTTATTACATATATCTGTCAAATTAGGGTAGTTAGTTCAAATTTGGGTTAAATTCCTAATAGCCTAAAGCCATTAAATTAAAGATAGCGCTGAGTGTAACATATAATAAAAACACCTACCCTCAAGAAAATGATATTGACGTCCACTGACATTTATCAATTTGTTCTTTTTTAGTCCCAACTATTCCCTTGAAGGTTTCCCCTTTTACCACACAAAGAAAAATCAAGTGTCTAATGGATTCAGAAGTTAATAAGGGGGCAGCAGCTGGAGTGGGTGGTGGTGGTGGTGGAATTTGTTCTCATTTGTTTTCATATCCCTCACGTGCAGCCCAATGTCTGGCACAAGCGGATGCTCAAAATACTATGTTTGCATTGAGCTTTAATGTGCAAACTAAAAATCCTACGACAAATGTTCTAGAGGTGCTTTTAGAATAGTCAGGAAATTATTAAAAAGTTAGTAAGGACACTGACTATTCAGAAAAACAAACATCCTTTTCTTTTTGGAATTCAAGGAAAAGATAAAGGAAAAAACATAATTCAGTATTCTCAGATGTATGTTATAATTCTTTTGAGGATGGTTTAGGTCTGTTTTGGCTTGGCTTGGAGTTTCATGTTTGTAGTTGGTAAATATTTTCTAACAAAATATGACCTCTTGGTAATGCTTGAACAAAGAACAGAATAAGCAGAAAAGTCCATAATATTCCTAATTTGTGGACTTTTATGTCTGCCTAATTAGAGACAATGAAATGTGAGTGAGGGATGATGTCATTTATTTTCTGTAGCCCTTGCATAGCATAGTATTGTACATGGTCAAGAAATGACACTGCCTAGAAAGAACTAAGGTTATGGCAAAATCTGGAAAGTTTACAGAATTGAAAGATTCATTCAGAAAAGAAAGCAATAAGGAAGTTGTGAAAAACAGCAACCAGTGAAGTAAGCACACTTGAGCTCTGGTTTCTATGTTTTTCTTTTAAATGACCAGAAAAATCTCCTAGTAAGAATTTCCTTCACAGGGTTCCTGACTGCCTTAGATGTACATGTGCAGATATGAGCAGTTAACTGCTCTTCACTGGCTACAAGAATGATTAGAATAGCAAGTCATTGTAGATATTAAAAACAGAGTGAAGGCCACATGCAGTCATCTCTGCAATCTGCACTATAGTTAAAAGGACATTATTATATAAAAAATACTGTACCTACCAGCATAATTTCTGAAACAGAATTGTAAACAAAAACAAAGAAAAGTTTTTTCTTACCTTGTCCTTGGCGATGGCTGGGGGCTGCTTTAAAACTTCTTTCACAGTCTGGATTACAGTTTCTGCTCTCATAATACTGATTGAACGAACCAGTTCCACTAGTAAAAGCTGTTCTTCACTGGCTGCAGGAATGACCTGAATAACACATCGTTGTATTTGTGTATGTATGTGTGCATATAAGTTTTAAGAGAAGTCAAAGAATTAAGAGACTATTTTATGGTCTCTTCTTAATATAAAGGCCTTTTCAAGTCCCTCGACTATTTTAGGTGAATTTTTT